CCGGTATATTAGGTAAATGGTTTGCAGTTAAATTTTGCTTTAAGAAGAAGGTAATAGATAATTTGTTTTGACCTGGCATTGTTCACCCCTTGAATTCCAAAGACCACCAGTAAAGTATTTCCATTTTGATTGAAAATTAAATAAGAAATTTTTTGAAAAATCCATAAGAATGTGCCAAATTTTGCAACAAAATTGCAGCATGATGTTAAAAGGGTGAATGGATCCCATATAATGCTAAATATATTCACAAACTAGATGTAAAAAATATTTTTTTCCCATTCGCCTATTAACAGGAGAAACCTTCAACTTTAAAAATAATTGATTTGTTATACATCGCCATGGATATCGCTAAAGGATGCGACTATTTGGAAACAAGTCGATTCATACATAGAGATATTGCAGCGAGGAACATCTTACTCACAACTAAAGAAGCCGACAGAGTTGCAAAGATCGGGGATTTTGGAATGGCTAGAGATATATACAAGTATGTACAAATTTTATGACACATACATTAGTCACTTAAGTGTTCATTGTTTTGTAATCAATTATTCAATAATATATACCGGTAATATAAAATAGATGTCAATAAACTAATTTGTAATTTGAATCAAGTTAAACTGTTCACTATAACATATATTTGCTCAAACCTTGTGAAATTATATTGAGCTAACTATTCTTATTTTCAAACTATGTTGTTGTTGTTTTTTGTACACAGAAGTGACTATTACCGTAAAGGTGGTAAAGCTATGTTGCCTGTGAAATGGATGCCTCCTGAAGCTTATTTAGATGGCATATTTACATCTAAAGCTGATGTCTGGTCAGTATTAAATTTACACTGATTTGTTCGGTTGGAGGGGGGGGGGTGAAAAAAGCTTGTGTAAAAACTGTGTTTTCAGAATTTAAAAAAAAAAACAGCTGAAAAATTGTGAAGATTATTTGTGTGACAGATTTATATTCGTTTTTGCAGGGCATTTGGTGTGTTGCTATGGGAGATTATGTCACTTGGTTACATGCCGTATCCAGGGATGAGTAACCAGGAAGTGATGCAGTATGTTGCCCAGGGTGAGCGAATGCATCCTCCAAGGAATTGTCCTATGCCTGTGTGAGTATATGATATCTCTGTCATACATGAATTCCTATGTAACTGCAAGTTGTCTGTTGATCCATGTGTATTCTCTCTCAACATAGTAATAACATTTACTTAAAATTTTTCTTCTTTTTTTCCACCATTATTTTGTTGCACTAGAACTTAAATAGCATTGCCCACAGACTTCTGAAATTTCTCAAACACACATTGGGGACTATGAGAACTAGTGTACCTAACTTTCAGAATTGTAATTGGTTGACTGGTTTGGCAGCTATATTGGATTTAATTTGAACTGAAGCGGCCATTTTGAGTCCTTTCTTGAGGGTTCAAGGCATTCTGAATTCTCTGTAGTAACATTAAAGATCAGTAGTTGCTTGACTTTTTTACCATGTTTTTTTTTTCCTGAAAAAGTGGCATTGATCTGAAATTTTATTATTAGCATCAATGTATATACATGTATAATGCTTATTTAATTTTGTGCTACATTTATTCAATTATTGTTAAATTTGTGATGTTCCATCTTTATTCTGAACTATGTACAACAAACAAATAATTTGGATCAGTCACAGAGACTTTAAAGTGAAAACTCTATGTTCTACAAGGGATCCAACAGGAAACTCTGGGCTCCTCTTTTTCCCCACTGGTACTGGCACTATGACAGCCCACTATAGAGAGTCTGGTGCCCAACAATGAGTTATCTGGGACCCAAGATCACAGTCAACTATGGTGCTTGGATTGTCCACACCATGTTTGAAACATCAAAGACAGCAAAGTGATTGGGACTGTCATAACTGAGCAGACCAAAGCTAAGGACAGAATACAGTGGCAAGACCTTATTGCAGTCTTATGTCCCACTGGGGATGCAGAGGATTGAAGAAGTCACATGATTTCACCGCAATCTTCAATTTTCATCCAAAAATAGCAAAAATGTTGGGAATTTATTTCTCAGTCGTGTTGCTTCCTATTTTGCGAATAGCAAAGCAGTTTGTGAGAATAATAACATATATATCAGTGGCTATATATTACCATAAGGCATTCAAACCTGACAAAGATGCTCTGCAGCTTTAGTTTTATTTTGTGGCTGCTATTCATTTTTAACAGCTTGGGGAAACAAAATTTTGCAATAGTCTCAGTGATGCAGAAATGTTCAGTGCAACGACATTTTACAATTTATGCAACAATTTATCACAGCAGCTTACAGTACTAGTTTTTATTGAAATTCAAAATTGTATTTTAAAATTACCGAATAATAAATGTTTGTATTTTACCACAGTTATCGCATCATGACTCAGTGTTGGCAACAGTACCCTGAAGACAGACCTAGCTTCAGTACAATCAAAGAAAGACTTGGTTATTGCGTACAGGTATAAATAAATCATTATTTCAGATTATTTCTTTGATCTCAAAATCTATTCTATTCTATTCTATTCTATTCTATTCTATTCTATTCTATTCTATTCTATTCTATTCTATTCTATTCTATTCTATTCTATTCTACTGTAGAATACTTTATTTTCGCTTGGAATTTATTTTCCCTATTTTCGCTGAATGGATGATTCCGTGAAAATAAAATCCAGCGAATATACTTTTTTTCCTATATCTCACATTAAATTCATCAAAAATCAGTGAAAATAAGTTCCATACAAAACGCCCAAAAAGCCTTTTCAGCGAAAATAAAGTATTTCACAGTATTCTATTCTATTCTATTCTATTCTATTCTATTCTATTCTATTCTATTCTATTCTATTCTATTCTATTCTACTCTATTCTATGATGGTGTAGTATAAAATCATTTTTATTTTTTTTTTACATTCATATCCTTTCTTTTGTTCTGCTTAATTTTTACGACACAGGATCCAGATGTTCTATCTACACCACTGCCAGTATGTCCAATTGCTGATGATAGGAACAAAGCTAGAAGACCCATTATTAGACCTAGGAATGTAACAAGTTCAATGCACGTGATCGATTCCCATGAAATTAAAAACTTTTCCCAGCCCAGTACGGCTACTCCAAGTCTTAACTCTAGTCTCAACTCTTTGTCAGATATACGTTTTGTACCATATTTAGATGATCAGTTAAGGGAAGTAGACAATAGAAAACCCTCTGAGGAGCCATGTAACAGTTCTTTCAATTCTACTGATGTTGCTACAGTAAATAAATCTTTGGATCCTGAACCAGATTCCAGAGATTCAAGCTTCAATTTGCTGAATGTTCCGGCAAAAAAAAACATGATTGATGGGGACTCTGAAGTCTCCGGGAATGAAGAGACAGATTTACTCTCTCCTGAGAGAAGAAACTCTAAAAATCACACTAGTGACCTCCCCACAGTTAATGGAGAAACTGATCCAGCTTTAGAGAGTGACACACACAGCCTGAGTAATGTATCAGATTCGTCGGATGTAGATGGCTCGCCAAAAAGGAAACTGTTCTGTGTTAAAAAAGACAGCGGAGTTGTGATGATGTTTGATAAGGATGCTTCCGGTTGTCAAGTTTGAAATATGTGTAAAAGACTTCTTTTTGTATGAATAATAATAATCAGGATCTTTATAAACATTGAACTTGTATCCCAAGAACCTGGGGAAAATATGAAGACAATAATAAAAACAAAAGGATTTACAAGTATGCTGTGTGGGAGTGCTGAATACCTTCTTTCTGCACTGTCAGTTTTTTTTTTCAACTGTCAAAGTACAAATTTTAAAATGTTTGTCTTCTTTTTCCAACTGGTTATGATTCTAATTGTTTATTATTCAGCCATATCAAAATCATTTTTTTTATCTAAATATGTATGTATTTATACCAAAATGTAACAATCAATATGAAAGTTTTTTGTTAATTGTTACAATTAACATTTTTATTTAATCAGCGATAAGATGTTTATCATTTCCACTTTGTATTTACAGATTAAACTAATTAAAATGACTAATTAGTTATTATCAATGAGTATGGATGCAATAGCATTCAGCAAATTTGTATTTTTAATAATAATAATTAAATAATATAATGCATGGTTGTCTTGCCAACCAGGCTGAATCTTCATAGCTGGGCTATGATAGATTTAAGATATGAATAGAAGTCTGAGACAATGTGATATAATTGTGGCAATATATATATGATTTTTTTTATGAGAATAATTTATGTTTAAGAGAATTGGCTGTAAGTCAAGGTTTTTTTCATAATATTTGTGGTGTATTATATATTTTATTCTTGCTAGAAGCGCACTAATAAATCAAGTATTTGTATATAATGTATTTTAAGTGTGGAATACATGAGAACTTTTAAACACTCGCTTAGGGAGTTATGTTGGGTAATAATAGGTCACACATCCTAGTAATTTCTGGGGGTACAAACACTATAAATAAAAATTTTAAAAAAATGCAATCAGTTGTTATTGAAGTTAAAAAACAGTTTTAACATGTAAACAATAGTGGTACAATATTGTAAACCATTGCTGTTAATTGAGAACACTGCCCTCAGAAAATGACAAGATGTGTATTCTTTAGGGGTCCTGCATATGACCTCAGACTTGTGAGATATGACCTATTAGGTCCTTGGCAACTATAAATCATTCACAGGTTTTCAGTGTGAGTGAAATGAGTGGCAAATAACAGTGACGGATACATTGCTTCAATCATTGTGTCTTGTTAATGTTTTAGCAGAAACTTAATCTGACCTAATACATACTATGCAAATTAAATGTTTAATTGTTTCTACAAACAATGTTCATCTTTTACCATCCATTGTGTCAGTGTGTCATGTGTGATGTCAGGTACCCCCTCCCCCCTCCTAAAAAAAAAAGTATGAAAAATTACAGCTAAATCTGGTGAACCAGACTTGTGGTATAATCTAGTGCCAGTGAGCTGGGTTTTGGTAGTTAAAGCCTACACATACTAAATTATGAATTCAGGGTTCAAACAGGGTCAGAAAGAACCTGAGAATTATGTCAAGTTGTATTTTTAGTACTGGTGTATTAAAGTTGTATAAATAATTGTCGGCAAACTTTTGTTTTAAGCCTTTGACATTTCAAGTATCATGTGTATTGTAATAAAAGCAGCATCTATGGTATTTGCAAGATATCTGCACCAGTTCTGTGGATTCTGTTTCAAATAAAGGTCGACAAACTTGAATACCAAGGTGAGTTTAAAGGGCGGCAGTCATCGCGCTGCGCTCTGTTTGATATGGGACTCGTAGCAACGTATACAACCCATGTAAAATACATTGTTTATTTACATGAAATTCCAACACGTGCTGCGCGACGACCACCGCGCTTTAAGAGTTGGTGATGACTGCAACTTTTCCTAAGTATGTTTAAAACTTGAATAAATGGAACATATATTGCCAAATATTCAGAAAATGGTACATGCAGACCAATGCCTATATTACAACATAAAACTGGATTCAAAATTACGATCACGGCAATCTCCACGAGTGTGAAGACAGTGTACGATTCGATTGAAACATCTATAATTTACACAAATGTTTAAATATAGCAATTTTTGTGTAGGAAGATGGGGGTCGACCAATTTTTTTTTTTTTTTTTTTTTTTTTTGGAGAAAAATCGTGGTTATAAATGGTCCCACATCGGAAGTCTCATGATGGGCTCAAACAAGTATAAATAACCATAGAAAAACACAAGAAACTCATAAATATGTTTGTTTTTATTTATATTCATCGCTCTTTGATTTGCTTCCACTCATTCGCAAACGCGTCAAGGAACTTGAGCGCACTATGCAAGTATTTATAACCTGGATTTCCATGGAAAACACTAAATTGAAACCTATTTTTCCACACAAACGTATTGTTAGATTGGCTGAAATTTCTATATATCAACATTTGCGTGAATCATAGGTATTTCAATAGGAGTATCAATCGTACGCAAATCGAACCATACGTTGTCTTCACATACTCGAGAAAACTAATAGTGTATGACCTGCCCCTTGGTGGAGGAAAGATGTGCTAACAAACGTACAGTAATGGCGGCCAATATGGCCGATATTTCCGAAATATCCTCACTGTTGTCAATTTTCACTGTCATCTTGTGTTTCTCTGCAATGGCTGTATTTATTATGAGGTAAGGACATATTGTTAACTATGAGTCAAACGGTTTATTTATGTTTGACAACCTAATTTGTTTCGCGCACCGCTGCTAGTAATTGAACTTCGCGAGTGAGTTCGTAGCTTAAATTGTAAATAAACATAAAGATTGGCCGATAAAGATTACCTGGTCTGTTATGGATCTGATAGGACGTGTCGAAATCAAAATTTGAAGGAAAAAAAACGCTCAGAGGAAAATACTTTCGGCCAAGTGTCAATTAACTTAACAGTAGGAATCGAATCGCATGTGTGCTGTATTTTTCTGAGGCCCACTTCGTTGGCAGAACAATGTATGCCCTTTGTGGCTGAGGCGGTGTTATTATTTAATCAGCTCTGATCAACGCATCACTAATATTGATTCTCTAGGACAGACCTACGTCACGATTCTCCAAACATTGCCAGCTAACGCAAAAATCAATTTTCTCCCGACTTCCTGTTCTAGTCTGTCATAGAAAAAGTAGCGTTGGTCACGATACTAAAAATAGAATATGCGGGTAACACTACGGAGGGATCAATGGTAAGGTCACTAAAGTGATTCACAGTCAATTCGTCCCAATTCACTTTCGTCCCAACACATTCGTCCCACAAGTCGATTCGTCACAATTCACATTCGTCCCACGAGTCGATTCGTCCCATTTCACATTCGTCCCATTTCACATTCGTCCATTTTTTAAATTTTTAGTCAGCATTACGATTTTGAACAGGGTCAATTTCTATGCCAACTGCTACTGACACGCTAACTAATAACTCCACGTTGCGTGAACGGTGTATTTGTATTTATTAACTAATAACTTGTACGTTGAATGTCCGGTGTATTTGTATTTATTAACTAATAACTCTACGTTGCACGAAGGTGTATTTGTATTTATTGACTAATAACTTGTACGACGTATTTGTATTTATTAACTAATAACTCAGCGTTGTAGGTAAGGTGTATTTGTATATAACGTCGGCAAAAACAAAATGGCGCAACGATACCCTGGGTGTCTGGGTCGAGATGTCCAATTTGGGTCGAAGTGTCTTGGGTCGAGACATTTTTGGGTCGAGATGTCTAGAAATCTTATTTGGCGAGTTAGTAGTGGGCTAACCTTAAATCTGACGAATTGACTTGTGGGACGAATCGACTTTGGGACGAATCAACTTGTGGGACGAATCGACTTTGGGACGAATTAACTTGTGGGACAAATCGACTTGGGACGAATCAACTTGTGGGACGAATCGACTTGGGACGAATGTGATTTGGGACGAATCGACCGTCCCCCCACTAAAGTTACATAGCAATCATAGGGTAATAGTAAATTAGAAGGAAAATAATCATTTGTGGGTTGGGGGTTGCTGCTTGGCGCTGAATCTGTTTTGGGAACACCTGCGTAGCTGAATCAAGGTTTCCTCAAAGTCCCATTCATTAGTGAATGAATCTAGGCTACCCATTCATTGTCAATGAATGGGTAGCCTAGATTGAGTCTGTGGCACATATAGGAGCTATATTTTTTATGTTGTCAATCTCATGAAATCTGAAACAAGGACTTGTAGTTTAGTTTCCATGTGTGAGTGTGTCTAAAGCTGTATCTCTGACACTCCTTGACCAGTTTACTGCAAACCTCACACCCTTTTCCCCACCAGACTTTCCCAACCATTTTTTTCTGCACTTTTTATTATATTCTTCAATATTTTTGGAAATGAACCCTAATTTTAGAGACAACACAAATTTTTCAGTTTTTACTCAACAAAATTGACTATTTTTGTCCCTCATCTCCTAAAGGGAAGTGCAGACTATAAAACAGGACTACTGGTATTTTGTGGAAAACAGGGAACTACTGGTGAAAAGGTTAATACCTTATCTGAAACATTAATTGCGTTACAAGCTACACCTATCTTGGAATATTGATGACATCATCAGGAAATTTTACAAAAGCAAAACAAACACTATCCGAAAAAGCATCTAAAGCTCTGTTTGAGCTTTATCAAGTTATTCAATTCCAATATCAAACCAATATTGTAATATGGTGCAGAAATCTGGGGATCAGAGATCATTGATTTTACAAAATGGGATAGAGGTGCTACTGTATTGAAAAAATACATCTTAAATACTGTAAAAGAATCTTGGACTGAACAAGTATGCTAGCAATGCTGCTTGTAGAAGTGAGGTTGGTAATTAGCCATTACTGAGTGAAGTACATACTTCCATGTTTAAATATTAGTTAAGACTACGGGAACTTCCAGAAGACAATATAACAAAATGGGCATACAATGAACAAAAAAATCAACATAATAGTTATATTTGGATATCAACAATAAAAGACATGACAGAAATTAATCAGAATTTATTGTGTGATACAGAGGAAATAATCTTAGACACAAAATCCCAAATTTTGATTTACAAAGTGAAATGTCAAAATTATACAAAAATACACTAATCATTGGCGATCAAACATTATGAAAGATGATAGCATATTACGTACATTTGTTATAAACAATATTTATCAAATGTTATAAATATTGAACAAAGAATCAGTCAAACCAAATTCAGGATAAGTAATCATGACCTTGGTATAGAAACAGGCAGATACACACAGCCCAAAACAACATTACAAGATAGAATTTGTCTACGTTGTGATACACATAAAGTATATGAAATTACAAAATATATGACATTACGACAAGATTTGTTACCACATATAATTCTCCCAAAAGAAATTAAAACTAATACAAATTTCAATTTATAATGAAAATACCGGTAACAGATAAAACCTTAATTATTAAGCATGTTGCACAATTTATCTTCATGGCATTCCAACAACACACAAAACACATGTGATTTGAACTTATATTTTATTTTTTTGTATGGGTTATTATTTCTATTACTATATATTAAAAGAAATGTGTGTTTCTAAAGATGCAATAAACAATTATTATGTGATTCAGTCGAAGATGGCCAACTGGCCATTTTGACATGTAAAACACTCAAAGCTTGTATTTTGACATGTTCGAACCAGACCTTGGGCATGTGTTGTTAGATTTTCTTCAAATTTTGTCGAAGGAGTAGACACTACTGGAAGGTAGATGTACTTTGATGATGTTGACATTTGTTTTCTTGCTTTAAATATCATTCATGATAGCATTCCTTGTCACATGCATAACACATGCATTTCTATAGTGAAAATACCCTACACCACACAACAAAACTTATTACTCACTTTATTCCAAGCAGCAGAATTCTATATTCCTGTGATTTAATTAAGATTTAAGTACACAACAAGGACTGTGCATTGCAAAATGCTTTTTTTGTGATCCTATATAATTTGACAGCCTGGTGGCCATTTTGGTAATGAAATCATGGGATTAAATCCTGATACTTGTCTGCAACTGGTTCTTGGAGGTTCAACCCAGTTCTTTCAAATTGACACACGCACTGAGTAGAAACACATTTTCTGGTCTATTACCGGTGTATTGTACTTGAGTCCTGCATATATTTGTATGATACACTGCATGCCCATAGAAGTCAATATTTTAGTTCATAAAATAACATTGATGTATACCGGTAACATGTACGTGTAATTACAAGAAGGTATACATGTTAGTGTAGCCATGAATAAAAAAGTGAAATTGACTGGGTAGCAGTGTAAGCATTTGTAAATGAAGTCTAGAAGTACCTAATATTGGGCAATCGTTGTCGTCATCATTGTCGTAGCAGTGCACTGGGAGCTGAGTATCATTCATTATTTTTTTCTTATCTAAATTTTGAATTGAGCAGCACATACACATGCATATGCACATGTTTATCTTACTTTATGCAGTCTGATTGGCACAAATCATGCAGTCATTTTTGTCTCAAATATCCAGTTCAGAGAGATCAGCATCAGTACAATCACCATTGGCTTACCTGTAGTAAAGTGGTATTACATGGGGCAAATTATTTTTGCCATCTTTGCTCAGTTAACATATAGCAAATGAAAGTTGCAATCGAATGCAGCTTGCATTCACATCAATAAAGCTTTGATCATGAGGATGAGGAACTGTTTAATGTTGGTACAATTTCAACAACAGTTGTTTACCCTAACTCACTTGTATACCCTCTATGCATGCAGCTTTTAAATGTTTTTTTTTTTTTGAGTTGGTTATTCCTAGATATAGATGAGAATATAGGAAAACTGCACACAATAATTATACCAGTATTGGTATTAATACAGGATTAACTGTGTTGCCAATCACTCTATTTTTATCCCTAGTAGATTTTATTCTGCAAACTAATGGATGGACTACATATAATTTTACAGTAGACCTGTTCACATTTCTAGTGTTCTTATAAATACTAACATCGACATTTTAAGAGGTTAAAATATCCAAATTTGAATATAGTCATATATATAGTCCCTTGTAATATCACAATGCTAGTAGCAATATAACTTGCTTAATTTTTTTAGTTTTCTGTACCCGGTCCTCAGTGAATGTCAGATTTTGGGCTGTTGATGTTATAGTAAAATCACAGTCCCTGGTGTGGTGGGACTGTGGTAAAATGTATTGTGTCCCACAGATACGATGGGTGATTTGCATGTATTTGCATGGAACAATAAGCCACACCCGCCAATACCATACCATACTTGTCTGGTACATTGGCGTGGAGGGGAGGGGTCATCATAAACATGGCTACTGGTATTGAGTGTACAAGTACACATGTGTGTACAAATGAGATGTTTACAATTCTGCCGATTTTTACTCTTATTTTGATTTTCTTTACTTTGGTTATCTATTTTACCAGGTAAGAACAGCTATTAATATTGGTGTGCTAGCGATTCAGTATTATTCTGAATTAAGCTTATCAGTCAGTGCAGTCCTTCACATTGAATTTTAATGAATACCATATGGGAGATGTGTACATGTATTCTCATTTCCAAGTTCAGTTTGAATTTGCCAACTTCTCATTTTGTTTCATGTGCAAGTACAATTGCAGAGTTGTGTATTTGATGGTGCAAGCGTAACCATTCCATCCTAGCACATGCATGTGCTGCATGCCTTAGCAGTCAGGGACAAAAAGATGATTATCTACAATCTCTGTAAATATTGATATGTACATTGCCAACATACTGTGTTTACCTGTTAGAAATCTTCATATTGAACCTCTTTGCTTACCACACAATGACCAAAGTGCACATGCTGCAAAAAATTTCAATGTAGAAAGTTTTTTGACAAATTCACAGATTTGATAGCGGTGAACAGTACATTGGGATTTCTGTCAAATGAAATTTGTTATAAATCTCTGTGTTTTATGTTTATTTTTTCAATTTGCCAGCAATATTCTCAAAATAGAATGGAACCTATTTGTACACAGCTCAAAGTGTTAATTGATTAGTCTTGTACGAAAATTAATCTGTGATTCAAACATTCTCTTAAAGTTACTAAGATAGGATACCATAACAACCTATCGGTATTTATCTTCTGATCTTTAGATACAGCAGGTGAATATATTAGTGCACATACAGTACCACTGTTTGTCTTAGTGATTAACTGATGGCCTATCATGTACGTCAAAGAAATTTAGTGGTGGTTTTATGCTTTGTAAGTTTTCTGATTCAATTTTTCTGATTCAGTTTTTCTTGTAAGCATTTTTTTGTGACAATGTACAAGAAACCTGCATCTCAATTTGTTTATCTGTTCTTTAGTTTTGTAATTGCATCTGTACAACTGTACAACAGATTGTCTGCATGCATAGTTATTTGGTAGTAACTTATTAAAGAGGCAGATAAAGAAAAACATAACGAAGTCTTCCAGTCCATAGTGTAACAAACATCCAGTACAATTCACAGGTCATTCACATGACTGAAGGTTTTCTCTTAGTCAGAATAGTAAAATAAACAAGTATAAACATACTCTAGTCATGAATTTTCTTGCAATAAACACAAATTTCTTGCTTGTATACTATGTATTAATAATATTATTATTAATATTTGCCCCAACACTATTTGGACAAAGATTTTCCTTGGTGCATCTGACCTAACCTATATGTGCATTGCCGTGTTCTACTTCAAAAGTGTTTATAGTACCATGCTTGAATTTTGTAAATAACAGGGAAATATTTGTCTTTGACATAGGTACATTTTAAATTGATTCTAGTGTACATGTGCATTAATTGTTCTTGATTATTCAATGTAAAATCAGGCCACAGGGAATTCTGAAAAAAAAATAAATACTAAATTAGGCAATTTCAGAGGAACATCATTTGTTTGTGTTTTTTTGTCACAGACTTGGAATAAATCCGCTTCCAACCATCAGTAGTTCAGGTATTGGAGATGGTGTTCCAGTCACAGCTATGGTAGGAGTACGAAATCCATTTATCTTAGAAGTTGTCAATACCCAGCAGTCATCATTGAATAGTAAGTAGCTTAGCACTATACTGGATTTAATGCTGTGGATGCATGCTTGTATTCTGTTGGCATTTCATCCACATCCACATCCATGTAGGTCTGGTTGGTATAGACAAGGCTCACTCCTGTTTTTTCTCCTGGTATCCAACCAAGGCTCTTTTAAATACACCAGTCTCACACTGAGATTTGTTAATATAGCACATTCATTTTTAGAGTGAATATAGAAATTTGTGGGACAAACTGAATGACTGGTTAGATGTACCAGTACATGTAATTTTAACGTGTCCCTATCTTTGAATATTTTAACAGTACTCTAGTTTAATAAAACACTCATGATTGTATACTACTTTAGTAAGATAAACAGATCAATGAAAACTCTCAAATCTGTATTTTAATACTCACTATTCAGGTGGCGTTAAATTAAAACTATCCACAGAAGTGACCTGCAATGTAGAAGTATATTGGGGTCTGGAAATTAAATCATTATATTATATGTTTACTAAACATGGAACCCATGTTGAAATGTTACAAGACGACACTAGTATGCACGAGGATGATGTAAATACACATGATGGTGAACCTCCGCTGCAGCTATTTATTGGTAAAAACCAACCTATAAGGTATTCTTTATCTTTCATATATAAAAATGCGCTACAAAATCAGTTATGTTGATGATGCTACAATTTTGTTTTGGGTTTCTCTGATCTCTTTGTGTACCTTATACTCTTTCATTGGTCCAGGGAGCAAAATTGTGGTTAATGCAATCTGTTGAAACTTATGTTATGATCAATTTTAGGATTCATTTTGGAGCCTAACAAAATTAATTCTGTTGTTTTTAAAGTAGATGTTATATCACTATGAGTACATATACTCATTAGGGTTGTATTTAAAAATGCCATGATACAACCATTATCCAGTACTCCCCAGTATTAGTACAAGTCTGGAATATATGTATGAACAAGAAGGTACCCCCCCCCCCCCAAACATAATGGACAACCTGTTTCACTGGCTCATTGAAAAGTACTCAAGATGTACCGGTATTGCTGATTTTTAGTTTCTGTCAGACACAACCCAAATTGTGGGCTAGTGAATGAACAGTGTCCCTGTCTGGTAAAATTGTACAATGATTCCTCAAAATTGCAAGTTCGTTTCAGCAAGACTTGGTCTAAACATCACACAATGTCTCACAATTGTTTTTAATAATTATTATTCATTATTATTATAAATGCTGTCCCACCCGGTTTCCTTAAATCATGACAAATCTGTATATCACCCTTGGTTGGGTCAATATTTCTATAGTATATTTCACATAACATAATGGGCAGCGCTGTGTAAGCTATAAGTTTGAATTCACTCTTGGTTGGTTTCTTCTTAGCACAGCAAAACTTAGTCAGTATTTCATCTTTAATGTCACTTGATATGTACAACATTGCTAATGACAAAAACAAACTTGATAAAAGTTATCGGATCAGAAACAGGACATTCGGTGGTGGTAAAGTCCTGCAATTAGGCATTCTGATTGGTTGAGAAGCACTACATGTAGGTGGGTTTTAACCTCAATTCAGAACTGTAC